GTTCCTGCGAGCCTCTGACAAGCTGTGAGGGGAACATAATCACAGATCAATTTGCTGTAAGAAACCAAGGCCAAACTTCAGGAAGGAGGGTCTTGGGCCACATGTGTTGAGTTACAGGTCAAGATGAGGGAGGTTAGAGCGCAGGAGGAAACTGGAGGGAGAGGCATCTGTTGTTCTTTGCTGAGGGAGAGGCTCTGTTGTTCTTCCGTCTTTTCCTGAAGTACTTGCACAGAGCTGTGAGAAAAACAGTAACAAATGTGAGGAAAAGTGCCTGTTAAGATAAAGAAAAGATAAAGAAAAGTGCCAAAACAAGTTGTGTTTCTTCTAAAAAAATAGCATTGAAGCTGAAGCAAATCTCTATATGGAGCTCTGGCAGCCGCTCCTGGGTCCCTGTCTGAGTAGGAAGTCATCTGTGTTCTGCTGGCATCAGGTCTTACTCTTTCTCACCACCATTTTGTGTTTTTGAAGGTCATGTCAATTTTTCTGATGAAGTGACCGCTGGCCTTCGTATTTCGGATGGCGTTGTGCTTTTCATTGATGCGGCTGAGGGGGTGAGTGCCGTGTTCTCATAGGGGTTAACTTCAAAATCTCTTTCTCTGGAGTCTTTGATCCTGCCTTAGCATGAAGGCCTGGGATGGGTTCAATTTTGTGGGGTGTAGAGTTTTTGGAGGAGGGTTCGGGAAGCAAGAGTGTTTTCTGGCCAGAACAGGGAGTCAAACCTTTGGCTTCTGTGCTGCGGGCTGATGTGATGCATGTGACCTGTAGGCTGATCATCTAACTTCTTTGCATCTCCCCCCCCATCATAACTAACTTGCTCAATTTTAGGTACATCAGAGATCTCCAAGGGATAGGATTCAAGGAATTCGGTTGGGTTAGTGCCTACTTCTGAATTTCAGGAAGATGAGCTGATCACTAGTGGCTGAGCTTAGGCTTTTCTACAGCCTTGCAGCCCTGTGTGTAAGGGTTGCTGCTTTGTCTGTCACACCTTAGATAGCATTTTGTGGAGGGCTTTTGCTAGGGGTGTTTGTGCTCATTATTCCCTGCAGGTGATGCTGAATACAGAGAGGCTGATCAAGCACGCGGTGCAGGAAAGGCTGGCAGTGACTGTGTGCATCAACAAGATAGATCGACTGATCCTGGAGCTGAAATTGCCCCCAACAGATGCTTATTACAAACTCAGACATATCGTAGATGAAGTTAATGGTCTGATCAGGTATGGGTGTTTGGGATGATACATCGTTAGTGCTTGTTGTTCCATTGCAGGTGCTTCTTTCTGTGAGCCCTCTGTATGCCTAAAAACTAATGAGTTTGTCTCTTGATAATGTTGAATCATAAAAAATGGGGCAGGAAGAACCATTGGAAATTCCTCTCAGCCAATATATTGAATTAGGCAGGATTGACTCTTCCTGACAAGCTTCATGGGATCAGCTCTTTTTTTCCCCCCATTAAAAAGTACCCCCCGTTAAAAAGGAGGGAAAGTGGATATATGACCAGAGCAGGGAACTTCTGTCCTCCCGTATCTCTCAAATAAACTGAAATTATCCGGGCTATATCCCAAATTGTAGGCTGAGATATCTGAAAGCTCCTAAATATTTGTTAAAAAACTAATGGGAACTCGCTGTCCCAACCCCTAAACAGAGACTATGATATTGCCATGTCTAAATCTCCTTGCGGGCCCCTGCTCAGACAAGGGAGGGAGATCTTCTCTGGCTTTCACAGTAGCAATGCATCGTTTCTGTGGGTTCTTCTGCGTCCAGGTGATTTTCTTAACAGTATTCTCCCCTTCAAGTCTGTGTGAATTTGCACATGAGCTCACTTGTGTGTCTCTGTTCAGTTGCTACTGGCATCAAGCAGCTTGGAGCAGGGTAATTTATCGTGTCTAGCATGCTTGTGAACTCAGTAAAACTGTTTCGATTCGGTTCTATGCCTACATTATTTGCCCTGTGTTATCTTTCCCCTTGCTTGGTTGACCAACTTTGCTGCCTTTTTTTTTAGGGGAAGAAAAACTCTATCTGATAAAAAAATACAATGCACTTGTGCTGGTAACTTTTTAGTTCTAGGTCTTTAAATATTTGTTTGCATAGTAATGCTTTGAAGTTTATAGTCATAAAATGATACTGACCCTGAAATTCTGATGGCAAGCATACTGCAGCCTGTTTTAAGATGCTATTTGGCAATGTAGAATCCTTGCCTGTCACATACTGCTGTTTGGTGTGGGAAGCGGATTTAACTGTCTTTCTTGATTCATAACATTGATTTTGGTTTTTTTTTTTCTTGTCTCTAAAAATTGTCTCCTCTCAGCATGTATTCCACCGATGAGAACCTCGTTCTGTCTCCCCTTCTGGGGAATGTGTGTTTCTCCAGTTCGCAGTACAGCATCTGCTTCACACTGGGATCTTTTGCAAAGATTTATGCAGACACATATGGTGAGGACTATCCAGAAACCTTGTACACTTTTAACATCTCATTTCCTAACCTTTTTTATTGAGGCCTTCTAAGCCATTCAACATCAACTTTCACTGCACATGTATGGACAGTATATGCGTTCTTGAATTTCTAGGAGTTGAGAGGCACTGCAGGTCTGAGCCCTGGGTGGTAAAAAGCAAAAATACAGTTCTAACTTGTTTTTAGCTAGATAGTTTCTCCTGATAAATGTTTCTTGAGTCAGAAGCCAATATTTTATATATACCCTTAAAACATACCAGAAAAAACGAGTCCTGCTATGGCAGTTGAAGGCAAGTGTATGTGTTGTGCTTTGCTTCCTTATCATAACAGCTCAGAAGTGAAGTGGTTAAGTTCTGCCTGCCTTTTCACAAAAGTCTCCAGAGTCTGAGACTCAGCTGCAGCCAGGCACAAGGTTTTGCACTCTTGCCCTCTTTCTTTTTTAAGAAACTGTCTTTTTCTGGCTTTGATTTAATTTTCTGTTCCCCAGGTGCCCAGTCAAGGCAATCTGCCACTTGTAAAAGTGGGCCTTTTGCTTGCATTAGCCAGCTGTACAGCCAAGGTTTTTGAAGACTCACACTGGCGAATTTGAGGTGATCTGTAGGAGCCGTGAGCAGGGGAAGAAGGATGTTGTAAAGCAGCTGGCCTAGCTCTTGCGAAGTTAGCCTGAGGGAGGATGAACTTGTAGAGGTCAGGGACTGATGTCAGGACTATCACGTGTCCTCGTGAGTTTGGAGAAATAAATGAGCTCCCTGGGCATCACAGCATTAACTCAATGCCTGCTAGGATCATACCCCTTCTTTGGGGGACTGATAAAGATGCAGGAGATGTCGTCCATGTGGGGCAGACACGAGCTGAGCGGGTACTTGAAGTCAGTAATATTTGATTGTGGCCACCAGGGATTTTATGTGTGGCCACCACACTTCAACTGACATGAGTTATAGGAACTTCATTGTCAAAACTGCAGCCACCATGAAATTTCTTCTGCTTGCACATCTGCCCACAGGAAAAGGTTGTTTGGAAACTGCTGTAGATTGCCACCGCTGTCTTATTATTTGTAAATTCACCACGACAGCTAAGCACCGCACTATTCCTTCAGTACTTGGGTATTTGGCTATGCACTTAGTGCATCACCTGGAAAGAGAAAAGAACCTGGAGATGTTCAACAAGGCAGAAAATGCTTGTGATAAGCCTGCGGGGCAGATGGAGTGTGAGCCATCCCAGCACCTTGGCAGTACAGCGTCAGGTTGCAGCATTAATGTTTGGAAAATGAAGCAGACGTAACTGGGTTCCTGCAGCGCGGCGTCTGGCAGGCCAGCTCTTCTCAGCTCTAACCTTGTGTGTAATTGAGAGGGTTGAAATGTTCCTGAGGAGCAAATCTGTGAACATGCAGTGTAGCTGGGCTGTTGGTGTCATCCTCAGTGGGCTGTTTTCTACCTGCTTCTCTGCCTGGTCTCCCCAGGTCAGGGCTTAATCATTTATTCAGAATTGGGACCAAGCGTTCACGCACCAGCATCGGTCCATTAAATCAAATCCTCAGGGTTGTTTTAAAAGCCAAAACCCAAAGATTTCCAAGATGAGAGAAATACAGTGACATCTGAGAGACTTTTGTCATTTGCTTTTTCCCTTTAGGAGATATCAATTATCAGGAGTTTGCAAAGCGGCTTTGGGGTGACATCTACTTCAACCCGAAGACGTAAGAAGCCTGTTTAAATGTCTGTTAGTTAATTGCTGGGTTTTTCCCTCATTTCCCCATAAAAGGTGGACTAGGTGACCACACAAGGTCCCTTCCAACCTGCGTTCTCTTATGATCCTGTGATGGAGTAGGATCTGGGAGGGGTTGAGTCAGGCCTCCTGCTTGGTGTGAATCCATGTGTCCTGAATCCCATAAGCAGGAGCAGAGAGCGTCCTCTGGCCTTCGTTTGGAGTAAGCATGACTCCTCTGTCCCTGACAGCTTCCCAGGAGGATTGGGAGGGAGAAGAAGATAACCTGGGAGGAGCAGAGGCTGTGTTTGCAGTAGAGGTGCTTGCAGGTTGCAGAGTGCTTGCTCCTCACGTCCCTCCTTTGGTCTCTCAACAGCCGCAAGTTCACTAAAAAGGCCCCAACGAGCAGTTCGCAGCGCAGTTTTGTGGAGTTCATTCTGGAGCCCCTGTACAAGATCTTGGCTCAGGTATAAGGTGGTTCATTCTCCTTCCCACAGTTCCAGACAGGAGGGATGCAGGGGCTGAACACTGGGTAGTGGTGTGTCTGGTGCCTGTCCAGTTCTGTGTTCTTTTGGGCATGAGAGCAGCAGTGAGCAACTCCTTAACAGTTGCTCCTTGCAAATATAGCCCTATATTTGCACAGTTAATAAAACTGCTTTCGCTCTTTCTAGTGTGCTCTAATATCAGTCAAGTGATAATTTGAACCAGCCAGCCAGTTCTCCTGTGAGCTCTAAACCAGAGCAGGTCAAGAGCCCTGAGGGTGATGGCTGGCGTGGGAAGCTGCACCTGGGAGTTATTGGCTTGGAGCCCTGCAGCAACGCTGAGAGTGGTGCCTGTTGTCTTGCAGGTGGTGGGGGACGTGGATACGACCCTGCCCAGGACTCTGGATGAACTTGGCATCCACCTGACCAAAGAGGAATTGAAATTAAACATTCGGCCCCTCCTGCGGCTTGTCTGCAAGAAGTTCTTTGGGGAATTCACAGGTAAATGCCATTTGTCTTCCCCTCCACAATCTTCCCAATACCCTAGCCTCCCATCAAGAGAGTTAAGGGCTGTGTTACAGCCATGGAGTGCTCACTTGCACCGATCCCTTCTCAGCTTTCCAAATAGAAAATACTAAACCATTTGCCCAAAGGGCAGCTTGAGACACTGCTCACATCTTCCCCATTGCTGTGGGTGCACTGCAGTCAGAATGGTTTTGCCTTGTGTTTATTGCAGTCCATCTCTTTCCTTTATGCTGCTTAATCCTGCTCTCATGAGGTATTCCTTTTCCAGGCTTTGTGGACATGTGTGTGCAGCATATCCCCTCCCTGAAGGTGGGAGCCAAGACGAAAATGGAGCATACTGGTGGCGTCGGCTCTGATCTAGGGGAGGCCATGAGTGAATGCGACCCCGATGTAAGGAAACTCTTCTGCTTTGCTCTAAGTGTCCAAAAGCGTGGCAAATATGCTCTCCTTTCACTGCCTTGAGAGGACAGCTGCCTCCTAGACAGCCATCTGCACGGTGCACTGCAATCAGAATGGCTTTGCCTTGTGTTTATTGCAGTCCATTTCTTTCCTTTATGTTGCTTAATCCTGCTCTCATGAGGTGTTACTTTTCCAGGCTTTGTGGACATGTGTGTGCAGCATATCCCCTCTCCGAAGGTGGGAGCCAAGACGAAAATCGAGCATACCTACACTGGTGGGGTTGACTCTGATCTAGGGGAGGCCATGAGCGAATGCGACCCCGACGTAAGGAAACTCTTCTGCTTTGCTCTGAGTGTCCAAAAGCGTGGCAAATATGCTCTCCTTTCACTGCCTTGACAGGGCGGCTGCCTCCTAGACAGCCATCTGCACAGATTTGACTTCCAGCATTTTGAAACCTCTCATCCGATACTGAAACAAATCTCTTCACTCTGAGAAACTTTAGCTGCCTGCCAGGGCAGCCCTAGAGAGAGAGAGAATTGTTTGACAGTGTTCAGGGAAGAACAGGACTAGGTCAGGACTTCAGAGCACATGGGAACTGCAGGGTGATTTTGTGTCCTTTTGCTGCCTTTTTCTCCCTTTTCCTTGAAGTTTGATTCTCTCTCCCAACTCTGAGAAAACTGATCTGAACTACACTGATAAAAATAACCCTACATTAGTTAGTCAGCGCCTTTCCTATCAAAGCCTTGCAAAAACCTTCCTCCTCAAACAGCTTGTACTGAGCTGTCATTCAGAGTTGTCTAGAGCCACCAACGCCAGCCAGCAGCTTAGTGGGGAATTTGCCCGTGACTTTTGCTCTAGGGTCTGGAGAGAAAATGAATCTCTTAATTTAATGAGTTGTGATTACCCACATAAAACTATACAGTCACTGTGACACAGACTGTCACCAGATCACCAGTTGTGGAGTGACCTTATGGGACTGAAAGCTGTGATCTGTGGAGCCTCAGGTGCTCTGCCCTGAGCTGGTTCGCAGGCCAGCGGATGACTTTTTTTTTCATGGCCTTGTCCCAACCACTTTTTACTACTCCACAAGAGGAGGGAGAAGAGCTCCAGAAAAGTCCACCCAAGTTATTCTGGGGGTCTCCATACAGGGCAAGGAGATGCAAGGCTTCCAGTGGAAAGAAATTAAGGACTTGGCAAGTCAAAAGAAGTATTTCTAAATTCCAGCCTGTTAATCCCTTTGTATCAATGAGTCCTACGAGGTCTGTGTCTGTTTCTTGACTGATTTTGAAAGAGGCTTATTTCTCTCTCTGTCTCTCACGGGAAGGGTCCTCTGATGTGTCACACAACGAAAATGTACAGCACCGACGACGGCGTTCAGTTCCACGCCTTTGGCAGAGTGCTCAGTGGTACCATCCATGCTGGGCAGCCTGTGAAGGTCCTTGGAGAAAACTATACCCTGGAAGATGAGGAGGATTCCCAGATCTGCACTGTTGGACGCCTCTGGATCTCAGTTGCAAGGTACGGAAAGCTCTGGCAATGTGCTTATTTGGGAGAGAAGTCACTTGGAGTCATTGTTGCTGCCAGGGTCAGGGAGGAGCAGGGTGGCACTGTGAGGGGTGTGAAACTGGCAGCAGTGAGCACTGCAGTGCTGCTCTCCTGCTTTTTAGGTATCATATTGAGGTAAACCGGGTTCCTGCTGGCAACTGGGTGCTGATAGACTGCAACCGTCATGGAGCCTCGGGGCAATGAGGAGGTACAGTGCATAGCTGGTATCTCTCACCTCTCAGCCGTACAGGGAGTCAAGGTGGTGCAGGGCATCCCAAAAGCTCCAGTGGTGAGGTTAAAGAAACCTTGTCTGCCGAGGTGCCAGGGGACGAGAGCCACTCAGGAAAAGAGAACATCTTCAAATGCTGTGTCTGACTCCAGGGACCATCTAATGATGCAGAGTTTCAGCTCTTTATCCTTATCTGGTTTCAGGCTCAGATCTTCCGTCCTTTGAAGTTCAATACCACATCTGTTATCAAAATAGCTGTAGAACCGGTCAACCCCTCGGAGCTCCCCAAAATGTTAGATGGTCTCCGCAAAGTCAACAAGAGTTACCCCTCGCTTACTACTAAGGTATTTCTGGTTTATGTATGGCTGTTTTCAGCTCATGCTGTGGGCTACCTCATAGGCTGATGTTAAAATTAAATAGTTTTTTCCTGTAGGTCGTTTTGTTGTGAGTTTTTTCATGCTGTTGCAGTTGATCTCATAAATCATGTGGCAATAGCAGAAAACTCTAAATCCAGCAGAAAAACTTGCCTTGCTGTGCCAGAGAAGCAGCTTTCTGCAGAGCACATCAGCATTTTCTGCTAGAAAAGGCTGTGGGAGCTTTCCTTGGGGTGCTCTGATCCTAACCAATTTATTTAAAGCTGATAATTCCTCAGGCTTGTGTAGGAGCTTGGAAGGCAAGGGCCTGTGAGCAGTAACACGATCAGTTGAACCCCTCTCTTACTTTTCAGGTGGAAGAATCTGGGGAGCACGTGATCCTAGGGACAGGAGAGCTCTACCTGGATTGTGTGATGCACGATCTACGGAAGATGTATTCAGAGATTGATATCAAGGTGAGGAAATGAGAGGGATTTTCCCAGCTGGGGAGGGGGTTTTGTCTACCTGTCTCAGAAGGATGGAGAAAATAAACCTAGCCATAATGTACAGTGCAGATTTTGTCACATCCCTTTAAAAGGAAAAAAAAAAGGGGGCAGGGGCTGTTAGAATGCAGAAATAACTCGTACAGCCTGACTGTCACACCAGTGTGATTGAGAGACTGATAGTTGGCTTGGAGAGGAGTGTATGACCATGTTCCAGCCTTTTGCTTTACTTCAGGCATTGCCTGGCCAGCATCAAATAAATAAATCAAGCAGAATTTTTCATACCTGGATTTAGGTTTAAATGTTCCCATCTTGTTTGAATTAGGAATTAGTAAAACTGCCTGTGCAGGCCTCAGTGGTTCATAGGGAATGCTGATTGAAACACTGGCAGATGAACCAATTTTTTCTTGTAGGTATTCAAAGGTTTTAAAACCTTACAAAGCTGTTGTTATTCCAGGTCGCTGATCCGGTTGTGACGTTCTGCGAGACGGTGGTGGAAACGTCCTCCCTAAAGTGCTTTGCTGAGACACCCAACAAGAAGTAAGAGCCTGTGGGTGAACTGGGCATTGGAGACAGGTAGAGGGAAGGGTTCACTGGAGGCTGGACTTCATCCCCTCCAAGGGGTCTGTTCTTGGTGGCTGGTGTCCAGACAAGTCGCATGTGCCCAAGTTGGCAGCTTTCCGTTGCAACAGCTATACTGAACTCCTCAGTAACACACTTGAGTGGCAGGGATGTTTTTGCGCTTTGTAGGAACTGTCAGAATGGAGGGAATAAAGACAGATCCACATCCTCCTTTCCTTTTGGCTAAATTTTACATCTTCTCAGCAGTTCTGTGGTGTTTCCAGGACTAGGAAATGCATTGGCATCCTAGAGTAGGTGCCAGAGCCCAGTGCTACGTTCAGTAACTCCCCAAACATTTCATGAGCAAAAGCTTTTTCTTCTCTTATCCATACTTAATCTTGAAATGGATTTGTTCCTTTCTGGTGATGCACTGGAGCCTTGCAGATGAGCCTGATCTCATCTTCCTCCTCCAGCAATGCATTATGAGATGCACATGACTGAAAGAGGGAAGCCTGGGAGGAAACATAGGCTGAATAACCAGGAGGAGATTTGGGAGCACAGGACATTTTGATACCTGTATTTTCAGGGAAATTATGATCTGTCTTATGCTGAAGATGGCTTTCCTGCATTCCCTTGTGGTTTCTGGTTCTTCTTACCCTCCTTTATTCTCATACTCTCTCTCCAGGGTTAGCAACCTTATTTCCGGGAACAGAAAAGTTCCACTCTGGGGTCAGTCTTTGAACTATTGGGCAAGTGGAATGACCTGCTCTGGGGGCAGGTTGCTCACATTGGTGGGGTTCTCCAAGGCAAGATGCCATGTGTCAGACACAGTGAGTGCTGGCTCTCCCAGAGGCACATTGCCTGGCCCATAGGCTTCCTTTGCAGCCCAGACAAGTGCTGGACATCTGGCAGGAGGGATGGAGCCACGTTGTCCCTTAGCAATCTGCTTCTGGAGTTGAACAGACTTTGGAGAGCAGTTGTTAAGCACATGGGCTGTCTTTACAAGCAAGACAGTAACAGTGAAGGACACGGATGGCTTCACCTCCCTAGCTATGTTTGAGGCAGTACGCAGTCCCTGAGGTCCTGCCAGTTACTCCTGTTTCCGTCATTCTGCAGACTAATTGCTACTGTCTGTCTTCTCAGGAACAAGATCACGATGATTGCCGAGCCTCTGGAAAAGGGTCTCGCAGAGGACATTGAAAATGAAGTGGTTCAGATAACGTGGAACAGGTATGACTGATCTGGAGAGACCAGGAATCCATCTAGAAGCAAATAATTGGGGGAAAAAAAGGAATGCTGAGGTCTGCAACGTGCAAAATATCAACCAACAACCTTTAGGCAGGGGTCCTGGGTTCAGTATTGCTACCAGCTAGTCAGTGAGCATCCCTGCCCCAGCAAATGATTTGCTCCAGGTAAAAAGCTGAGACCATTTTATGCCTGAAGGGAATAGGGTTGTGAATGTGTTGTGTGTGCAGGTCAGATACTTGTTGCCTAAAGTTTCTTCCCTTCTTCTTGTATCAGAAAGAAGCTGGGTGAATTCTTCCAGACCAAATATGACTGGGATTTGCTGGCTGCCCGTTCCATCTGGGCCTTTGGGCCAGATGCCACTGGCCCAAACATCCTAGTAGATGATACGCTGCCCTCAGAGGTGAGAAACACAGGCAGGAGGGTTACACTTCAGTGAGATGCTTGTCCTGTGGTGCCAAGAGGTGACCGCTCCTTCCAGAACCCACAGCAAGGTTCTAATGCTGTTGGAGTGCTCATTTGTTTGCCATACCTCAGATCTGCTGTACTTTCTCCAACATACTCCTACACTGGCTAGCAAATCACCTGGTATTTTTCAGCCATTGCTATTTGAGCCAACGTCCTCAAAATTGGCAACTAACCAGCCTGCCTTTCAGGATTACCAAAATATGGACTCTTAATTTATAGCTCTAGATGTCAAACTCTGAAAGTGATGCTCCTGAGCTGTGAGAGGAAGGAATGGACATTGGGGGTATAGGGGGACATTGCTGCTCTTCTAGGAACTAGCTTTTAAACACTGGGGTCTGTCTGTTAACTGCCTCATGACACAGATTTAGTCTCTGAAGCTGTCTGTCTGTCTGTAGGTGGACAAGTCACTGCTGGGCTCTGTGAAGGACAGCATTGTGCAAGGATTTCAGTGGGGGACCAGGGAAGGGCCTCTCTGTGATGAATGTAAGTAAGACCTGTGGAGAAGTGGAGCTAATAAGATCAATTAAATTCTTCCATCTCTAAGCATTCAAGTGATTTTGCTGGTGCAATCCCTCAGTGGCCAGTTCCCTTCTCACACCACAGCTGGTGACAACTCTGGGGACAGGTGACAAGGGAGATGACAGACCTCCTGCTTTTTCCTGGCTGCAGATGCCACCCAGGCACTGGCGCTTGCTGTCTGCCCACAAACCAGGGCCTGTTAGCTGGCAAGCTGGCTCCCCCAGAGCTTGGCTCCACTCATATAATTCAGGTACAGACCACTGACCATCCTGCAAGATACGCTGCTGAATTGTTCGTGTTTGATAAAGCAGGGTTAGGACACATGGTCATTGCTTTTCCTGCTGGAATTAAATTTAGGAGAACTTCTAGTGGCTCAGGCTCTTTGGATATTTCCTATGTGCTCGGAGTCTCTGGGGATGCTGGGTTGGTGCTGGTATGGCAGAGAACATCCGCCTCGGGTCACTTGCTGTCATTTCTGCATTCCTCAGTGATCCGCAATGTGAAGTTTAAGATCCTGGATGCAGTGATTGCTCAGGAGCCCTTGCACCGGGGTGGAGGACAGATCATCCCGACAGCCCGGAGAGTGGTCTATTCCGCTTTCCTGATGGTGAGGACTATGCTGTGCATGACAAAGACTGAACCTCGTGCTGTGCCAGCTCCTGTGGGCTCCAAGGAGTGCGGGTTGCACATGTGCTGCACTGTCTGCCCCAGGGATGTCAGTTTAAACTGACTCATCCAACCATTAATGCTTCCACGGCCCTTGTGGGCTGGCAGATGAGTTTTACAAGCGATCACGTTCCAGTCTGGCTGGAAACTTGTGTGCATCTGCTCTGTCTCCCCTTTTTGCTACTGTTTGGCTTGCTCGGAAGGGTGGGCGTTGGGGAGAGGGAAGCATATGACTCATGGCCAGAAGGGGAAAAGCTCCTTTCAGTGTTTGTTTGATGTTGGTTTGGGCAGCTATGGGGCAGCAGGAGCCCTTTCATCCCCAGTCAGGCGCTGTGTTTGACCAAAGCATGCCAGTCCTTAATTCTTACTTGAACCAAATTATGTTGGTGCTGCTGGAGGCTGACTGGCTTGTGTCCCTTTCTCTTCACAGGCCACCCCTCGCTTGATGGAGCCCTACTACTTTGTGGAGGTGCAGGCTCCTGCCGACTGCGTGTCTGCGGTGTACACAGTCCGTCTTGACCAGTCGTAGGTGAGCTACTCTGACCAGCTGCCATCTCCTTAATATTGCAAAGCAGCAAATGCTTGTGTGGGATCTGGGTTGCTGGAGATGTTCACAGTCCTAGCACTGCTTGTAAAGTGAGGGGAGAGGGTGAAATCTGTATGAAGTGACACCAGAAAGCTTCCTTGACTGATCCCAGCCCCTGTGCTGCTTGGGGAGGGGATGTCCAGGATCACACACAACCTTTGGTTTGTGCCTGGTTTGTCTCGAGTGTCAGAGAGGAGAATATATAAAGGGACACGAGAGCCTGCTGGGAGTATTGCGTTCAGCTCTGGGGCCCTCAGTGTAAGAAAGACGTGGACGTGGCTCAAGCGAGTCCAGAGGAGGCCATGAAGGTGATCCGAGAGCTGGAGCACCTCTCCTGTGAGGGCAGGCTGAGAGAGTTGGGGTTGTTCAACCTGGAGAAGAGAAGGCTCCAGCAAGACCTTAGAGCAGCCTTCCAGTACCTAAAGGGGGCCTATGGGGAAGATGGAGAGGGACTCTATCAAGGAGTGTGGTTATAGGATGAAGGGTAATGGTTTTAAACTGAAAGAGAGAAGATTTAGATTAGATATAAGGAAGAAAGTCCGTACCATTAGGGTGGTGAGGCAGTGGCACAGGTTGCCCAGAGAAGCTGTGGATGCCCCATCCCTGGAAGTGTTCAAGGCCAGGTTGGATGGAGCTTTGAGCAACCTGGTCTGGTGGAAGGTGTCCCTGCCCATGGCAGGGGGGTTGGAACTGGATGGTCTTTAAGGTCCCTTCCAACCCAAACCATTCTGTGATTCTGTGACATATGGGAAGACTAATCTTTTGACATGTTGACAGAGGCCATGTTACACAAGATGCTCCGATCCCAGGCTCTCCTCTCTACACCATCAAAGCCTTCATCCCAGCCATTGATTCATTTGGGTTTGAGACAGACTTGAGGACCCACACGCAGGGACAAGCCTTCTCGCTGTCTGTCTTCCACCACTGGCAGGTGAGTCCATACCCTGGTGAGACGGGGAAGAGGGACATGGAAGAGTCCCACATGGTGGGTGCTCTCAATAGAGCTCAGTACCATAGCTCACATAAGGCTTTGTATGCAAGCTGTTAAGTGTCTGCCAGAAGCCAACAGCTTTGTTCCAAGTCACATCCCCCTTTGCCCTAGCGAGGGGGCGCTGAATGCTGCTGCTTGCTGAGCGTAAGGGTCCTTTAGTGCCTGAAAGGAGGACATCCTCATCTGTGAGAAGGGAGGCTGTTTGGGTGCACTTGGTGCTCTGCAGCTTGGGGAGAGGAAATCTTGGAGTGGAGCTCAGACTCATCTGCTATAACACGTGGGTTGCCACACTTCAGCTTTGCCTCTCAGAAAAGGCTTTTTAAACCTATGGAAAACAGGATTTGGGACAAAATACTGTCCTCTGGCCGCTTCTGTGTCTGGGGCCAATCAGGTC